CAGCATTGACCTCGGAAAGACAGTGGCCATCTTTTCCTGCGAAAGAACAACCGAACTACTGTTAGCTGTGGACAATGATTCGCAAGACAAAAGTGTCATACGGGCACTTTTCAATGCCTGTCGGTCTCTCCCAGTTTGTTTGTGGGGTTCTGGCCCGTTGGACACAAAGGGGATCGGGCAGCTGAGGGCATAGTCCAACAAACCAACTGCACATGAAACTATGCAACATACCAAATTCTACTTTGTAGGTTGGGTTTTGTGCTGCTACGGTGCCGCTGACTTTGGCCAGGACGAGGAACGAGGCACTGACGACTGTGAGCAGATTGAGAGGCGCCATTGTCTGCCAGGAGTCGTTGGGTTAGCCAAGAAGGAGGCGAAGACACAATCCACTAAATCATCAAAACATATTAGCGCTACTCAGATCGCAGAGGCCGACGACGTTATCATTAGTTTCAGGGACTTTGAGGCAGCCGGTGCCGGGGGTGCGGGTGAACTCATGGCAGGTAGGCCAGGCCACTGCCCCTTCGCTGCCCAGCGTCTTACGACCTCTCTAAAAGGCAAATAATATCTAAGGACCCTTTATAGTATTTTTACGGTGCAAAAAATGCCAGAACGGGTAAGGGGGCATCAAAGCCAGCCCAGCAAGCTACGGAATCCCATGAATGCTCGTGTCTTGCACCCCAGCCACCGACGTCGAGTCGCAGGGTCAGCACCCAAGAAACCCACGCCGATTTCTCTCACCAAATTCGTTTCTACCATATCCACAAAGTTAAAGTGCTTCTTAAATACTTGTCCTGCGCTCCTTACCCTAACTGGAAGCGGCACTCCGGGCTGCAGCCGTGGTCCGGCAAAGCCTCGCTCTGTTTCATTCTGCTCACGCTGCCGTGACCGTGGCACTCTATGAACGGTGTAATTTCCAGGACTAAGCACAATTATATAGCTGAATATGGTTGGTTGCAGCAACATTCCACACGAAGCAAAGCCCGGCAGCAACATCGTGGCCGCTTCGTCACGACCACCCCCGAGCATTGCGGACCACAGAGGGCAAAGGAAGGAAAAAGTGAAGAAGCGACGTTATTTTACCCCTTCACACTAT